GTAAAATAGTGAAATGTAAAATACAGTGAAATATAAAATACAGTGAAATATAAAATACAGTGAAATATAAAATACAGTGAAATATAAAATACAGTGAAATATGAAATACAGTGAAATATAAAATACAGTGAAATATTAGATACAGTGAAATGTGAAATACAGTGAAATATAAAATACAGTGAAATATAAAATACAGTGAAATATTAGATACAGTGAAATATAAAATATAGTGTAATATAAAATACAGTCACATATAAAATACAGTGAAATATAAAATACAGTGAAATATGAAATACAGTGAAATATAAAATACAGTGAAATATAAAATACAGTGAAATATAAAATACAGTGAAATATAAAATACAGTGAAATATAAAGTACAGTAAATTATAAAATACAGTGAAATATAAAATATGGTGAAATATCAAATACAGTGAAATATCAAATACAGTGAAATATCAAATACAGTGAAATATAAAATACAGTGGAATATGAAATACAGTGAAATATAAAATACAGTGAAATATAAAATACAGTGAAATATAAAATACAGTGAAATATAAAATACAGTGAAATATAAAATACAGTAAATTATAAAATACAGTGAAATATAAAATACAGTAAAATTTAAATGCAGTGGAATACAAAATACAGTAGAATTTAAATACAGTGAAATATAAAATATGGTGAAATATCAAATACAGTGAAATATCAAATACAGTGAAATATCAAATACAGTGAAATATCAAATACAGTGAAATATCAAATACAGTGAAATATAAAATACAGTGAAATATAAAATACAGTGAAATATGAAATACAGTTAAATATAAAATACAGTTAAATATAAAATCTAGTGAAATATAAAATACAGTGAAATATGAAATACAGTGAAATATAAAATACAGTGAAATATAAAGTACAGTAAATTATAAAATACAGTGAAATATAAAATATGGTGAAATATCAAATACAGTGAAATATAAAATATTTACAGTGAAATATAAAATATTTACAGTGAAATATTAGATATTTACTGCGAAATATAATATACAGTGAAATGTTAAACATTTGCAGTGAAATACAAAATATTTACAGTGAAATATAAAATCTATACAGTGAAATATAAAATATTTACAGTGAAATATAAAATATTTACAGTGAAATATAAAATATTTACAGTGAAATATAAAATATTTACAGTGAAATATAATTTACAGTGAAATATAAAATATTTACAGTGAAATATAAAATATTTACAGTGAAATATAAAATATTTACAGTGAAATATAAAATATTTACAGTGAAATATAACATTTACAGTGAAATATAACATATTTACAGTGAAATATAACATATTTACAGTGAAATATAACATATTTACAGTGAAATATAACATATTTACAGTGAAATATAACATATTTACAGTGAAATACAAAATATTTACAGTGAAATATAAAATACAGTGAACTACAAAATACAGTGAAATATAAAATATTTACAGTGAAATATAAATATTTACAGTGAAATATAAAATATTTACAGTGAAATACAAAATATTTACAGTGAAATACAAAATATTTACAGTGAAATACAAAATATTTGCAGTGAAATATTAGATATTTACTGCGAAATATAATATACTTACAACGAAATATAATATCCAGTAAAATATAATATACTTACAACGAAATATAATATACAGTGAAATATAATATACTTACAGCGAAATATAATATACAGTGAAATATAATATACTTACAGCGAAATATAATATACTTACAGTGAGATATAAAGTCATTACAGTGAAATATAAAATAAGTGAAATATATAATACTTAGTAAACTGTACTCTATATATAACGTGTGTAATGAAATATATGCTATGTGTAACGCGTGTAATGAAATGTACATTATACATAACAACGTCTGTAATGTAATATGGTTAATGTAATCGTTTATAATAAAATGTACTCAATGTATAACGTGTAATGAAATATACTGAATGAAATAATCTCAAAGTATGTGTATAATATAATACACTCTATGTATAACGACGTGTGTATCAAAATATACTTTATGTATTATACATTGCAGTGTGCATATATGGAACGTTTTACATATATTGCTCGGTCAACTAATTAGATGATTGTAATAACCTTTTTTCTTTGGGTAAATTGAAGTTACTTATGAACGAACAAAACATTTTATTGCTGCTCACTGATTAATAGCCACTAACGTCATGACAATATACTGTTGAGATCTCGAAAACCGTTGCCACGTAATCAACTGCCTCTTTTATGTACTCTGTCTGGTAAACTGTCTTGAGATTTGGCCAGGCGTTCGTCATGGTCGTAGTCACATATACTGGCAAATATGTGATGGAGCTGAAGACATCAACTTAAGTGTATGTTGCGGTGCTTGTAACGGAATCACGAGCAAGGTGAAAGGTCTTTTAACAGAGGAGGCCGTGACGATAGTTACACGGAGGAGTGTGGTAATCACGAGTCATGTCGGCTGCTGATAATTTTGTTGTAATTAAAATATAAGGTATGTCTTATATATGTATACAGCAGATTTCATAGCTTTGTTTATTTGAATATTGTATAAATCTGAGTATAAATCACATATATTTCCACATGGAAATGGGAACTAAAGTTAGAAATTGTATTCGGTTTTGTTTTACGTTCTTTAGAACTGAGGGCTGATATTCACCAAGACGCTTTACTGCCGGTATAATATGAAGAGGACGTAGGATACTGGTCAAGATTATATGTGGAGTACACGGTAATGGATAACATATACACCGAGAACGTTAGATGTATTGAACACTGAAAATATAGTGCGTTTCATCAAAAATACAGTATATTACATTGTAAATATTGCACGTTTCACTGTAAATATAGTACATTCCATCGTAAATATATTACTTTAGTGTAAATGTAGTACATTTCATTGTAAATATATTACTTTAGTGTAAATGTAGTACATTTCATTGTAAATGTGGTACATTTCATTGAATAGTACATTACTGTAAATGTATATTTCATTGTAAATATAGTACATTTCATTGTAAACATAGTACATTTCACTGAAAAAATAGTACATTTCATTGTAAATGTGGTACATTTCATTGAATAGTACATTACTGTAAATGTATATTTCATTGTAAATATAGTACATTTCATTGTAAATATATTACTTTAGTGTAAATGTAGTACATTTCATTGTAAAAATAGTACATTTCATTGTAAATGTGGTACATTTCATTGAATAGTACATTACTGTAAATGTATATTTCATTGTAAATATATTACTTTAGTGTAAATGTAGTACATTTCATTGTAAATGTAGTACATTTCATTGTAAACATAGTACATTTCACTGAAAAAATAGTACATTACATTGTAAACGTAGTACATTTAATTGTAAAAATAGTACATTTCATTGTAAATATATTACTTTAGTGTAAATGTAGTACATTTCATTGTAAATATAGTATATTTCAATGTAAACATAGTGCATTTCACTGTAAATATAGTACATTTCATTGTAAATATATTACTTTAGTGTAAATGTAGTACATTTCATTGTAAATATATTACTTTAGTGTAAATGTAGTACATTTCATTGTAAAAATAGTACATTACATTGTAAACGTAGTACATTTAATTGTAAACACAGTAATTTAATTGTAAATATAGTACATTTCATTGTAAAAATAGTACATTTCATTGTAAATACAGTATATTGCATTGTAAATATTGCACGTTTCACTGTAAATATAGTACATTCTATCGTAGATACAGTACATTTAACTGCAAATATAGTGCATTTCATTGTAAATGTGGTACATTTCATTGAATAGTACATTACTGTAAATGTATATTTCATTGTAAATATATTACTTTAGTGTAAATGTAGTACATTTCATTGTAAACATAGTACATTTCACTGAAAAAATAGTACATTACATTGTAAACGTAGTACATTTAATTGTAAACACAGTAATTTAATTGTAAATATAGTATATTTCAATGTAAACATAGTGCATTTCACTGTAAATATAGTACATTTCATTTTAAATATAGTACATTTCATTGTAAATATAGCGCATCTCATTGTATATACACAGTACATTTCATAGTAAAAATAGTACATTTCATTGTAAAAACAGTACATTTCATTGTAAAAATAGTACATTTCATTGTAAAAATAGTACATTTCATTGTAAAAATAGTACATTTCATTGTAAATATAGTACAGTTCATGATACATAGATTCATACAGTACATTTTATTTCCTGTACATTAGATTTCGTTATACAAGGAATATAATGTATTTCACATGTTTTACATTGATGTTAATTTAGATTGAGAAAATTATTTCAATGTGATAATTAATGGATAAGAGAATCATTATTTCTTTATTAAATGCTACATAAAAAACTATTGTATGTATGCCCGTGTTCCTCAGATCTTATCCATATGCAAGATGAAGTCACGCCTTTCATGACATAACAAGGATGACTTCACACCGAATCCTTTGTTCTCTGGACAGCTCTCACTTTGCTGGCTTATAGGCGGCCCATCTATAAATACCGGGGCCCATCAGTAATGTCTTCGTATTCCTGCCATTAATATGTAGTTAGAATTCGATCATATATATATATATATATGTGTGTGTGTGTGTGTGTGTGTGTGTGTGTGTGTGTGTGTGTGTGTGTGTGTGTGTGTGTGTGTGTGTGCATATACATATTTGTATATATGTACATAATTGTGTGTATGCATATATATGTGTATATATACATATATATGCATATATACACAAATGCATATATATATATATATATATATATATATATATATATATATATATATATATATATATATATATATATATATATATATATATATATATATATATGTGTGTGTGTGTGTGTGTGTGTGTGTGTGTGTGTGTGTGTGTGTGTGTGTGTGTGTGTGTGTGTGTGTGTGTGTGTGTGTGTGTACACACAATTATGTGCATATATACAAATATATCTGTGTGTGTGTGGGACAGAGAGAGAGAGAAATAAAAATATGAATAGGACTGAGAATAAGAATAAGAATTGGGCGAAAAAATGTTGACGGACGAGTTTCTTTAGACAGGAGACGCATGATTGACAACTCGTCAGATACAGACTCTCAGGAACATTTACACAACTTGAATTAAATCTGTATGGCAGTATAAGCTCATGCACACATACTTCATATAAGAAAGCATTGAGGAAAGTATTGGTAGGCAGTGAGTAAGCAATAGGATATACCTGATTATGAGCAATTATTAACCACTACATGTCTGGTTGTGACCATACATTAATATAGGTGAGTAATTATGCGGTCTCTTTGCCATATTCCTTCTTCAGAATGTGATTGCTAAATACTTATGATAGTGATATCTGGCTTATATACAGTGTTCTCATATCATACTTGGCCGTAGTTAACGAGTCTAACACCTCTACATTAATATCGGAAACTGAGGCAGTTGCAGCTAAGGAACGAATTATCTTCTCAAACGCCTTCCTATAAACTTAGTCTCCTTACAGATAAGTAATTTGTAATGTAGGTTCTTCTGGTTGAATGAAGGCTGGGATTGTGGCCTCTGTGAATGAGGCTGAAGAGGAGGAAGCGTTCGACGAACTGCGCGAAGACAGCTTATCGCCTGCTCTGAATTCTGATCCATTGGTGCTTCGCGGGGCGCATCGGGCATCATGCGTATCAAGCGGTATGCACGGTAAGGTACGGGTTCCTGGAGGAGTGCAAGGTCCAGTTCTGGAATTCGAGGGTGTACATGGCCCGTTGGAGGAGACTGACGAAGCACAAGAGGCGGTCGTGGCCTCGTGCGAGTCGCTTTGAGTTTGGCTGAGCGGGTCTGTGTGGGGAGGCTGCTCATCTGCTTCGAAGATCGGGTTGTCTTTTCCTTCCTTGCGGCCATTCGCTACGAAAGCCTTCTCCATGTCCTGCAGAGACCGGCCTTTCGTCTCAGGGATGAAGCAGAAGACGACTATGGCAATGACCAGATTGACGGATCCGAACACCATCAGCGTTCGACCGAGGCCGAAGGTCGCTACGACCTCAAGGAACATGTAGTTTACGCCGAAGGAGGAGGAGAAGTGGAAGAAGGTGATTATAGACGCTGCCATGGACCTCACTGGGGTCGGAAGAAGTTCGCCGAGGTAAGCCCACAGGATGGGGCCAAGACCGATTGCGTACGCCCCCACATACACCAGCATGGCCGCTAAGGGCACCCACGACGCCCCCTCCACCTCCAGGTAGACAGTGGCGCCGGCGGCAGCCAGCATCAGGGCCGATATCGTCGCCGACGTCACTAGCACCGGCTTTCGGCCCAGGTAATCCAGGATGAAAGCTGACACTAATGTAGCGCCAAAACGAGTTAATCCGACGAACACTGTGCAGTAGAAGGCGTCCAGCTCTACTCCCGCGCTGCGAAACATGTAGACGGTGTAGTTGTAGACGGGGGCTTTCCCGCCGAGTTCCCTCAGGACGAACAGAGCAAGGATCAGCACTACGGGACGGATGTTACGACCTCGGCGAAGCTCTTGTAACTGTCAGAAAATTGAATTAATAATACTAGAATTATGCGATGCATGTAAGAAAAAATAACACAGAAATACAGGAATAATGAAAACATCAGTAATAACTGCCTATTACCTGGTTCTTGACCTTGGACTGCTTAAGGGTCGTGGTACTCCTGATGGCGTCGAGTTCCTTCGTGACGTCAGCGCTGCGGCCCAACAGGACTCGCAAAGACCTCTCGGCGGCGTCGATCCTCTTCTTCCTCACAAGCCAATACGGAGACTGAATAAGGGTAAACCAAATAAAAATCGCAGCGGGAAAGGAATCAGGGAGAAAAGATAGAAAACGTATAAGCATAAGTCATTGAGATAATGGCCAGGGTGCATAGCAGTGGTTCTTAGCCAGTAGACTAATGTCTTTATATATATATTTTTTCTTTAGACATAATCTACTACTAAGCAATAGAATTTCTGTTGATTTAACTACATGTGTACTGAGAGAAGTACGTGCATGATTGATAATAACTCTTCTCTAGCCCAGACAATATGCAAGCACAGTCAGTATTCTTGGATTTGGGGATGAAAGAAGTTTGAATATTGCTTTCTTTCTCTCTCTCTCTCTCTCTCTCTCTCTCTCTCCTCTCTCTCTCTCTCTCTCTCTCTCTCTTCCTCACTCGAACGCTTACTTCGGGCACGAGAAGCATGAGCAAGACCAGTGGCACGAAGGGAGCGGCCGATACCGCCGTGGCCACGTCCCAAGGCAGCAGGTAAGCCAGGACGTAGGAGAGCAGGATCCCCGCACAGCCCATCACCTCGGGCAAGGTTCCCGCCAGGCCTCTGATCTCGGCGGGCACAGCTCAGCGATCAGCGGTTGTACCATCGTGCACAAAATGGACGTGCTGATCGCCAGGGCAGCTCGACACACGTACAGCAGAGGGAGCCACGGCGTGTAGGCCTTTATGAGCCAGAAAACAGGCACGGGGAACATCGCCAGGAACAGGAGACGGCAAGGGACCCACGTGTTCCCCCAAGGTTCCGGCCAAAGGACAGACCCCGATACCTACTATTAGGTTTAAGGACGCTGGAAACGTTTGGAAGAAAAAAGGGCAACGTAGATCAAACAAAAACTGAGCTAGATTTCTTTGTCATTTATTATTCCGAAAATAGGATTTGTTCAAAACTATGGATCAAATTAATTCTCAAGTTATGGGGTAATAGATATTAACAAATCCTCTTGATTAATAGAGCATAAAACTTAAAATTCGTTTTCCATAACTGCAGAAAAATACATAAAAACAGAGAGGTTTAGGGGGGTTGGGGGCTGAAGAGAACGAGAGAGAGGATGAGAGAATGGAGTGAGAGAGAGAAAGAAGAGTGAGAGAGAGAGAGAGAGAGAGAGAGAGAGAGAGAGAGAGAGAGAGAGAGAGAGAGAGAGAGAGAGAGAGAGAGAGAGAGAGAGAGAGAGAGAGAGAGAGAGAGAGAGAGAGAGAGAGAGAGAGAGAGAGAGAGAGAGAGAGAGAGAGAGAGAGAGAGAGAGAGAGAGAGAGAGAGAGAGAGAGAGAGAGAGAGAGAGAGAGAGAGAGAGAGAGAGAGAGAGAGAGAGAGAGAGAGAGAGAGAGAGAGAGAGAGAGAGAGAGAGAGAGAGAGAGAGAGAGAGAGAGAGAGAGAGAGAGAGAGAGAGAGAGAGAGAGAGAGAGAGAGAGAGAGAGAGAGAGAGAGAGAGAGAGAGAGAGAGAGAGAGAGAGAGAGAGAGAGAGAGAGAGAGAGAGAGAGAGAGAGAGAGAGAGAGAGAGAGAGAGAGAGAGAGAGAGAGAGAGAGAGAGAGAGAGAGAGAGAGAGAGAGAGAGAGAGAGAGAGAGAGAGAGAGAGAGAGAGAGAGAGAGAGAGAGAGAGAGAGAGAGAGAGAGAGAGAGAGAGAGAGAGAGAGAGAGAGAGAGAGAGAGAGAGAGAGAGAGAGAGAGAGAGAGAGAGAGAGAGAGAGAGAGAGAGAGAGAGAGAGAGATTACCTGGTTCTTGACCTTGGACTGCTTAAGGGTCGTGGTACTCCTGATGGCGTCGAGTTCCTTCGTGACGTCAGCGCTGCGGCCCAACAGGACTCGCAAAGACCTCTCGGCGGCGTCGATCCTCTTCTTCCTCACAAGCCAATACGGAGACTGAATAAGGGTAAAACCAAATAAAAATCGCAGCGGGAAAGGAATCAGGGAGAAAAGATAGAAAACGTATAAGCATAAGTCATTGAGATAATGGCCAGGGTGCATAGCAGTGGTTCTTAGCCAGTAGACTAATGTCTTTATATATATATTTTTTCTTTAGACATAATCTACTACTAAGCAATAGAATTTCTGTTGATTTAACTACATGTGTACTGAGAGAAGTACGTGCATGATTGATAAATAACTCTTCTCTAGCCCAGACAATATGCAAGCACAGTCAGTATTCTTGGATTTGGGGATGAAACAAGTTTGATATTGCTTTCTTTCTCTCTCTCTCTCTCTCTCTCTCTCTCTCTCTCTCTCTCTCTCTCTCTCTCTCTCTCTCTCTTCCTCACTCGAACGCTTACTTCGGGCACGAGAAGCATGAGCAAGACCAGTGGCACGAAGGGAGCGGCCGATACCGCCGTGGCCACGTCCCAAGGCAGCAGGTAAGCCAGGACGTAGGAGAGCAGGATCCCCGCACAGCCCATCACCTCGGGCAAGGTTCCCGCCAGGCCTCTGATCTCGGCGGGGCACAGCTCAGCGATCAGCGGTTGTACCATCGTGCACAAAATGGACGTGCTGATCGCCAGGGCAGCTCGACACACGTACAGCAGAGGGAGCCACGGCGTGTAGGCCTTTATGAGCCAGAAAACAGGCACGGGGAACATCGCCAGGAACAGGAGACGGCAGGGACCCACGTGTTCCCCCAGGGTTCCGGCCAAAGGACAGACCCCGATACCTACTATTAGGTTTAAGGACGCTGGAAACGTTTGGAAGAAAAAAGGGCATCGTAGATCAAACAAAAAATGAGCTAGATTTCTTTGTCATTTATTATTCCGAAAATAGGATTTGTTCAAAACTATGGATCAAATTAATTCTCAAGTTATGGGTAATAGATATTAACAAATCCTCTTGATTAATAGAGCATAAAACTTAAAATTCGTTTTTCCATAACTGCAGAAAAAATACATAAAAACAGAGAGGTTTAGGGGGGTTGGGGCTGAAGAGAACGAGAGAGAGTGAGAAAGTGAGTGAGAGAGAGAAAGAAAGAGTGAGAGAGAGAGAGAAAGAGAGAGAGAGAGAGAGAGAGAAAGAGAGAGAGAGAGAGAGAGAGAGAGAGAGAGAGAGAGAGAGAGAAAGAGAGAGAGAGAGAGAGAGAGAGAGAGAGAGAGAGAGAGAGAGAGGCATACATAGATAATAACAATATGATAACAGACAAACAGACAAACGCAATCTCACTCTAACGCTACCTAACCAAGTGACGTCCTGAACCGTCACCGTGAACCTGCTTGAGTCTTCCTGCAACTTGGGCAACACAGCCGTCCACCCGCTGAGCATACCGTTGAGGGTTGGCGTGCAAGCGACTATCAGAACACACAAGATCTAAGGAAGGAGATATTAAACTGCGGTGAAATTTCGTCTTGTATTTACCTCCTAAAATGATATGAAAAAAGTAAACACAAAAGTAGTCGGATATTCTCATTGTCATCGATATTTGTTATTATAGTCATCATTATCAACAATATAATTTTGGATATTATTACTATAAGATGATAACAATAATGGCAATGATGGAAATTGACTCTAACGCTACCTAACCAAGTGACGTCCTGAACCGTCACCGTGAACCTGCTTGAGTCCTCCTGCAACTTGGGCAACACAGCCGTCCACCCGCTGAGCATGCCGTTGAGGGTTGGCGTGCAAGCGACTATCAGAACACACAAGATCTAAGGAAGGAGATATTAAACTGCGGTGAAATTTCGTCTTGTATTTACCTCCTAAAATGATTTGAAAAAAGTAAACACAAAAGTTGTCGGATATTCTCATTGTCATCGATATTTGTTGTTATTGTCATCATTATCAACAATATCATTTTGGATATTATTACTATAAGATGATAACAATAATGGTAATGATGTAAATGATCTTGATGATAATGAAAATATGAATGAATAATAATGAAAATATGAATGAATAATAATGAAAATATGAATGAATAATAATGATGATAATAATAAAGATAAATGTGATAATAATAAGAATAACAATGATAATGATAATAATAATAAGAATAACAATAATGATAATAACTAAATATAGTAATGATAATGATATTACCACAAAGTGTAATATAAGTGATGATAACAACAATGATAATAATAATAATGATAATGAAAATAATGATGACAATAAAAACAAAAATAATAGTAATAATGATGATAACAGTGTCAAAATTAATAATAATAATAACGACGATAACAATGCTAATATCAATAATACTGATAATGATAATAATAATAACAATAATAATAATGATAATAATGATGATGATAACAATATAAAAACTATGATAATAATAATGATAATAATGATGATGATAATATAAAAACAACAACAACAATAACAACAACAGCAATAATAATAATAATAATAATAATAATGATAATAATAATAATGATAACAATAATGATATCAATAATAATAACAATGATGATAATAACAATAATAAGAAGAATAACAATAATAACAATGGTAACAATGATAATAATACTAAATGATAATAATAATGATATTGATAATGATGATAAGTATGATATCAATAACAATAATACTGCTGCTGCTGCTGATAGTGGTTATAATAATGATGATGATGATGATGATAATAATAATAATAATAATAATAATAATAATAATAATAATAATAATAATAATAATAATAATAATAATAATAATAATAATAATAACAATAATAATAATAATAATAATAATAACAATAATAATAATAATAATCATCATAATAATAATAATAATAATAATAATAATAATAATAAAAATAATAATAATAATAAAAATAATAATAATAATAATAATAATTCCCCCGTGTTCTAGAAATACCAGGGTAACGTCCGGCGGGTAATAACCCTGTTTCACGGGCAGGCGAAGCGCTCTTGAGCCTTGGTTGGCAATCGTCTAGAGATGGTATCTCGATAAAAATACCGGTGGTTGTGTAACCTAAAAATCACTAAGCTTCTCATGTATGAAATGCCCAATCAAAGTATTGAGAATAACGGCATGAATAGGACTGGAACCCTGGGTGAAGGGCCCACGTCCGGCAGGTGTTTCTCGGCACAGCAGCGAGAACCCGGTCGTCACCCTGCTACTGCTAGAAAGAAATGGAGTAAAGAAATCAACAAAGTCATAATGGAGTGCTTCTTTAGAGGTAATCCTTTTGATGAGAACGGTAAACCCATCAGAGGGTACAGACAACGCATGTTTAGAGAATGGAGGGAAAGAGGAATGAAGTGGTTGAAAATGATGTAGAAACAGAGGAGGGATTGACAGAAGCAAGTGATGAAACAAAAGATAATGTGGAAAGGCTAAAAGCGATACTAGCAGAAGGAAAGAGAAGTGACGGAATCATGTTCAAAAAGTTAGATAGAAAAGCTCTCAAAATTCAGGTTGACAAAGTAAATGAAGCAATAAAGTACATGAAATGCAGGAACATCACAGAAACAAACAATCTGATCATAGCTGGAAGTTGTATGGGTTGCAGAGAAATTTGGCTTGAAATCAGGTGCTCGATGTTTTCAAATGAACCGAGTTGGAAACGGAGAATAGAGGGTGATATAAGGAAATTGAGATATGATTTTAACTTGCTGGAAAGAGGGCTGAAAGGACAATTAGGTGCGAAGAAGACACAGGGAATCAAACAACTAAATGAAAAGTACAGGGTGAATAGAAAGGGGATCAAAACTGCCATAGAAGAATTAAAACAAAGAATGGTGGCAAGAAGTGGAAAACTGAAGAGATATGAAGACAGAATTGAACAGTTTAGGCAAAATAGGATGTTTGGCTTGAATTATAAGAAGTTCTAGGGCGAACTTAACAAAAGTTCCAATTTTTCAAATAGAGATACCGAATGCGGAAGAGTACAAAATTCTGGGGTGACATTTGGAGTGTGGCGAAGGAGCACAATAGAACTGCTGTATGGCTGAAAGAGTTGAAGAAAGAAATAGATCGTGATATGAAACACACGCAAGACACGGTGAAAATTAGCACAGAGAAAGTTAAAAAGCAAAGTAAGAAACTTCCGAATTCGAAAGCACCAGGACCAGATGGAATACAGGGATATTGGCTAAAACACTTCACCGCTCTTCATGAAAGAATCGCATCCTAACTTGATGGTATGTTAACAGAGGAGGAGGTCCTTCAATGGACAACGCATGGTCGAACAGTGCTTTGTCAAAAAGATCCACAGAAAGGCACAGTGGTTGATAATTATCGACCTACTACATGCCTTTCATTAATGTGGAAACTTTTGACGGCATTGTAGCAGATGAAATGTACCAATATCTAGAACAGAGCAATATATTACCAGATGAACAGAAAGGATGTAGGCGAAGAAGTAGGAGCACCAAAGATCAACTGCTCATAGACAGAACCACACTCAGAGATTGTAAGAAAAGGCTTACGAATCTGTCCATGTCTTGGATAGATTACCAAAAAGCCTATGGTCCCATATAGTTGGATAAGCGAATGTATGGAGATGTTTGGAATAGCGGAGAATGTAAGGAACTTTCTTGGAAGAAGCATGAAACAGTGGAAGGTATCACTGACATCCAACGGGGAGGATCTTGGAGAGGTTTTTGTGAGGAGGGGGATTTTCCAGTGAGACAGTCTATCGCCACTATTATTTGTCCTTAGCATAATACCATTGTCACTGATATTATGGAAAGTGACGGTGCCTTATGAATGGGGAAAGAAGGAATACAAGGTCAACCATTTATTGTTTATGGACGACCTGAAGCTATATGCCAAGACTGAAGATCAGATGAGTATGCTAGTTAGAACCATTCACATGTTCAGCAATGACATTGGTATGGAATTTGGGATGAAAAAGTGCAGCCTTTTGACATTGAAACGAGGAAAGATTATTAGAAGTGAAGGAAATAAGCTAGCTGATGGACAAACAATGAAAGAGGTTCAGGAGGAAGGTTACACCTATCTAGGTATTGTGGAATTAGATAAAATCAAAGAAACTGAAATGAAAGATACAATTGGAAAGGAATACAAAAGAAGGTTAAGGCTGGTACTAAGATCAAAGCTGAATGGAAAATAAGGTGCCAGCGATCAACACATGGGCAATGGCCATATTCTGGTATGAAGCGGGAATATACAATGGAGAGAAAACGAGCTTAAAGATTTAGACGGAGAAAAAAGGAAAACAATGACAATGTATGGAGCTTTCCATCCGAAGAGTGATGTTGACAGGCTACAGGCTGTATGTGAAAAGAAGAGATGGGGGAAGAGGTCTTATAAGTATAGAACGATGTGACAAAGAGGAGGAGAGTAGTTTGAAAGTGTATGTGTCCAAATCTGAAGAGAAACTGTTAAAGGGTGTAGCAAAATTCGAGGAATTAAATGCAAGTGAACTGGAGGAGGTTAGAGATCTTAATACAAGAAATTAACAGGAAGCGAAAGATAGGTGGACTGGAAAGAGAATGCATGGACAGTTCGTCAGAGACTTAACAGATGATGTAGACAAGGAGAAGACTCGGGGATGGTTGTCAAAATGTGATTTGAAGATTGGTACAGAAGCCTTGATTTGTGCCGCACAAGAACAAGCGATTAGGACAAATTATGTGAAGTAACACATTGATAAAACGGCTGAAAGCCCCCTGAGTCGATTGTGTGGCCAAACAGGTGAAAGTATTCAACACATTGTAAGTGCACATGGGGAGTTTGCTCAAAGGGAGTACAAGAGGCGTCATTATAATGTAGCAAGAAAGATCCATTGGGATATATGCAAGAAAAGAGGAGTGGAATGCAGTGAGAAATGGTACGAGCATGCCCCTGAAGGAGTTGTGGAGAGTGATGATGTAAAGTTGTTATGTGGTGCAAATATCCAGTGTGATAATGTGATAGAGGCAAGAAGGCCAGATTTAGTCTTAGTAGAAAAGAAGGAACATACGGCAATAATAATTGACATAACAGTATCGGCGGATGCGAACATGATAGAGAAAGAGAAGGAGAAGAAAAAAGTAGAAAAGTATCAAGATCTGAAAAGAGAAATAAAAAGACTATGGAAATTGAAAAAAGTAGTTGTCCCTGTTGCTACTGGAGCTCTGGGATCTGTGACCAAAGGATTTGAGAAGTGGGTTGAAAAGCTTGGGATTCACTGCAGTCTAGGAGTACTTCAAAAGACTGCGTAGTTGGGAACTGTCAGGATTTTGCGAAAAGTACTGGAGATTTGAAAAAGAAAATGCTGGTAGCCCATGGTCATTTGTTGTGGCCCACCTATCAGCGGAGAACTCGGCAATAAGAACAGCCAGACACAAGGTGTGAAAAAGAAATGATAATAATAATAGTAATAATAATGATAATGATATTGATTATAATAATAATGACAATGATA